CTCTTTCGTCGGGGTCTCACATTCCTCCGCCTATGCCAAGGTTGTTCTCCTTGTTGCCCTATTTGTTGTTCTTCATCCTCCGATGGCATCACATCAACTCCTCCAACATTCACTACAACCCGCATGGCACTCAAAACTTGGATAGTTAAGTCACTATCCTGAAAGCGTGTGAGATTCCTAATAAAATTAGGAGTTAAGATGCCATAAGACCGGGCAAGTCGGGTAACTAAGTTTTCACCCGTGATAAGACTATCATGTCTAGTTCTTAGTTGCCTTTCTACCCATAAATAATGCAAGCATATACGGAATGTGGCAAAAAACACTGGGGGTGATTATGCTCCAAAAATGAAAAAAGTTTTTAAGAGGCACTTTATCTCCATGATTTTTATGATTGATCGTGAAGGTAATGAGGCGATGCAAAAAACGATACACGATATTCCAAATTTGTTTTTCACATGCATCACTAGAATTGTACTCGTGATTCGAAATAGTCATGCAAAACTAGACATTAAAAATACTAGAGGTGAAGCCTCGAACACATCCCTACAAGAATAGAACAAAAAATGGTGAGAGTGTCTCCTCCTTGGTATAGAGTCCCATGCGCATTGCGAATTCCCAAAGACTGCATTCGCGATACACGCCACCCAATCTAAATACAAGTCCCTAGTTGTAAGTGGGATCAAAGGTGTTATCCTCAAAACTCACAGTGGCCAAGAACTCCACTGATAATTCTTGATAAACGGGTTCTTGAATAGAAAATAGATTCCTCCACCAGTTGCAAGTAAATGAAAAGCCATCCCCCACAAATAGTTTTTTCCAATATCTCTCCAACTCCATAACCATACCAACCCCGCATAACCACATCCAATCCATAGTGGGAGCAACTGCAAACTCACGGTTATATAACCATCCCAAATGATTTTCATAATTATTCAACATTGCACGGGAAAGATTTTGTGGAAACCGGTATAGCGGGTAAATACTTGCCACATCAATAGGATCTTGTGCTTAAGGAACTGGCCTTTGAGGACCCATTTTTGCTTAAATGACCAAAAATAAATAAAACAAACCAAAACAACCAAGATATCAAATTGAAAAGCAAAACATGAAACTGGTTGCCCAGTTTCCTCATCGTCAGCATCAACTCCACATCGTGGACCTGGTTCAAGATGTGATTTTGCATCAGTCTAACCATGGTCAAAATCAACCATCAATCTCACTTGGGGTTTGTTTATTTCGTCAATATAAGGCCTTATATCACAAATACATTCGAAAATAACCAACCAATGGACTCAATTTGGGTATTTCATCTCTAAAGAAACCCTAACCACCAAATACATAAAATGTGAAGAAAAAAACTATAAGATTAGTAGATGTAACACTTACCAAATGTTGTTAGGAGACAAAATATGCAAGAAATTTTGGAAGAAAATGGTAGATAATAAAGTGGGCTTTTAACCCATGACATGGAATTGATGTTTTACTCTTCAAATGTCTATTTTAATATAAAAACTTTAATTTATCTACCACAAAAAAAAAAAATTAGGATCCCACACTTGATTTTTACAAAATTCTCAAATAATCAAGACGATAAAATGATTAAATATCCTACAATACAAATAAAAATGAAAAAATTAAACTAATTTCCAAAACGAAAAGAAATTCAAACCAAGCTCGGGTTGCCTCCCGAGAAACACTTCTTTTTATTGGAGTCATGAGCCGGACTCCGTGCCATCTTACGTTGAATTTGTCGGAGTATCCATCACAATTTGCACCTTTTGCTCCTTCAATTTCCTTTTATACACTTAGACTCGTCTAAGATAAGCGTTTTTGGAATTTTCTTTCTTACCCTTCGCAGTACCTTCTTCGAGCTTTCTTTTAATTCCCTTATTTTCCATATGTTTAATTTCTTCATTTTTAAGCTCCATGGGCAGCATCCTCTTTTCCACAATTGAACTCCTTAAGTTAGAAGTAACATTTTCTTCATCACTGGACACCAATTCTTCATTATTTTTACTCACCCAAGATGTTGGAATTTTATAAGTAATAACTTCAAAGACCATAGGAACTGATGCTCTCGGTTTAGTGTAGTTGACTTGCTGAATCTGTTCTTCCATAAGATTTTCTAATTCTTCAGGTTCATTCTATTCAAGTTCATTTTCTAATTGAAAACTTCACCTTGAACATCATTCCCTCGGAACCCATCTTATACTCCAAAAGTAGCTTCATCATCTCCAACTCTCAAGGTAAGCATGGATTCGAAAATATCAACCATGGTTCTAGCAGTATTTAGTAGAGGGGGACCAAGAATAATTGGGACATTGTTGTCTTCTTTCATGTCTAACACGAAAAGTTAATTGGAAACATGAATTTCCCAATTTTCACTAAAATATCTTCCACAATACCCCTAGGATGTGTCACTGAACGATTTTCCATGTGAATTGTCATTCCTATAGCCTTCAACTTTGGAATATTGAGCTTTTGATAAAATAAGTAAGGAATTAGATTTATGCTAGCCCCAGAATCAGATAAAGCATAAGTCTTCAAATTATTCCCAAATTCACATGGACGAGTGAGGTGTCCATGATCTCCCATATTCTTTGGCAATTCTCCCATTATCACTTTAGAACTTTGCTCACTTAGAATTACTTTGGAATTATTCTGTAGCTGCTGGTGAGTGTCAAGTAGATCTTGCAAGAATTTGTCATATTCAGTAACTTTAGACAATGCTTCAATAAAAGGAGTATTTATTGAAATACCCTTCACTTTTTGCATAAACTTTAAATGTTCCTGCTCCAGTGGGTGAATATTATCTCATAACGGGAATGGAAGTGGAGTATTTATTGAAATACCCTATCCATGTCATGGGATTTGAACTCCCACGTCGTGGGTTCGTTGTTTCAACAACATTTTTTTCTTCGATTCAAGACTTCTTCAAACTTGGTCCAGCCTGATGTGGGTCAACTTTAAGTGCTTCAAGGAACTTAGAAATGGTATCCTCTTCAGTTTCTATTACCATTACTTGTGATTGAGGCTTTTTCTCGGTAATTTTTGGAGATAGTTTTTCTTGTACCAAAGTAGTTAGTTGACCTAGTTGGACTTCAATAATTTGGATTGATGCTTGGTGATTTCTTAGCAAGGCTTGTTGTTCCTTCATGATATTTTGATGTTCCTTTATCACCACATATGTCTCGTCGTGTCTTTTCTCGGTACCCTCCATGAATCTATGTAACATAGACTCAATATTAACTTTCTTTACAGGAGGTGGTTGTTCTTTTTGGTAGAAGCCTCGGTCAATCTGCCTATATTTCTCTCCTTTTAGCTTCTTATATTCGTCATATGTTAACCACTCCATCTTTAGTTTCCTCTAATTTTCATCATACTTATCCCCACTCCAGTAGCAAACTTGTACCTTTTTATTTGCATGTTCATCCAAGTGGCAATCTTTTGTTAAGTGTGGACCATTGCATCTTTCATAACTAACTCTAATAGCATGAATTAATTGGTCTATCTTGGTCATTCTTCTATCCATAGTGTCAAGCATAGCTAGTACATTAGCCATGTCTTCAGAATTTCCTCCCCTAATTCCTTTAGATTCATCATGTCTTGGATTATGGTATTCACGATTATGCTTTGAAAACTCTTCAATCAACTCCTTTACTTCACCTGAATGTTTCTTAGTATGTGGTCCTTGAGAATCAAGGAGTTGCCATGTCATGAAATTTACCCCGTCATAAAAGATAGACACTTCTTGTTATATGTGAAGGTCATTTTGAGGGCAGTTTCTTAGTAACCCTTTATAACGCTCCCATGCCTCATAAAGTGACTCAGCCGGTTATTGCTCAAAGTTGGATATTACCTTCTTGAGTTTAGATATCTTTGATGGTGGGCATAATTGTTCCAGGAATTGCTCACGCATCTGTGCCCATGTAGTAACTGCACCGGGTGAAAGTGCTTTCAACCAATCTTTTGCAGCTCCCTTAAAATTAACAGGAAGCATTCTTAACAAAGCAGTCTCTCTAGGAACATTTGGGACATTAAAATAATCCGCAATGTCATTGACCTCATCCAAATTCTTATAAGCATCCTCATGATCCTTCCCAGAAAATGGTACATCCTTAAGTGTAGTAATAATGTGTCCTTTCAACTCGAATGTTGTAGCAGCGGGAATTGTGGGTTGTCCTAAACCACGACCAGCATCTTCTCTTATTTGCTTCTTGTATCCTCCCATGGACATATCAAAAATGTCTGCCATCTCGTTCCTTAGCTCGTCCTTGGAATCACATTCTTCAAACTCGGGTTTAGTCTTGTATTTGGTATCTTTTGGATTTGGATTTTGTTCAAAGCTTTCTATTTTTCTCTCTTCCTTGCTTCGACTACTAGACTCACCCACGTTTTTTCCTTTCTTCTTTCCAAAAACCGATTTAAGGTCCTTGAAAGGTGACTTCTTTGGCGAGTTAGCTTCTTCTACATTTTTATCCATATTTTTGTGAAGTGTCGACTCTAGATCTTCAAGCGGTGGTACCAAAGGTGTGTTGGAACCTTTGGTCATGAACTACTACTATAAAAACAAAAAAAATAATAATGCAAATTTGAACTGATAGGAATAAATCATTTATGATCGAATAGATTAAAGTAGGCAAAACAAGAACACAATATAATCAAACAAGTGCTTAATGATTAATAGTCATGCCTCAGAAGAACTCGATGAAGAATTGCTTCTGTAGAGGCGGAGAGTTGGGTTACAAAAATGATTCTCTAAAAACTCTATTAGATACGTAGCATGCATGAATCTTATATACTAACCCTAGCAGTACATACGAGTGGACAGGCCCAACTCGTTTATACAAAATGGACTCAAAAGAATAGGCCCAATGACACAACACTTAATCTTCAACAATCTCCCCCTTTGTGTCAATTGTGACCACAACCATTTAGTTCTTGATTCGCTTCTGCACTTCGTATACCTTGGGAATGAAGCCCAACAGCATCTTGCGAACTTAAATATACCAAGTGATCACATCAGTGAAACACTTCACATCATCCTTGTTGTTACCTCTAAACTTCGCAACTAGCTCCAGGATGAACTCCAAATAGGAAGTGGTAAATAAGTGATTGTCTTCGAGATGGAAAAATAACTTGCGTCGATCTTCTCCCTGAGGATCTCTAGACATATAAACTACAAACCATCCTTCTTTGAAAATTTTCTTTGGCTTAAGCTTCTCAAAGTCTTTTGGAGCTTCTTTCGGAACAACACTTGGTTTTTGCCTCAAAACAGTGGCAATCTCTACATCCATCGATCCAACTTCTTGAATATAAGATTTGATCAAAAGTTGAAGATGGGACACCACAGGTTCGTACTTCTCCTTTTTTCTCACTAGAATGTTGTATATCACCATCCAGTCATGGGGATTCAAACAAGACAGGTCTGTGAGAGTGAATTCGCAGGCTTGAGATTCAGATCCTCACGCAACCTTAAACCTTGCATTAGGGAAGCTTTCGGTCTCGATCGGCCCAGTGACCTTTACAGAAATAATCTTGCTCGCACTCCAAGACTCGTACTGGGGCTTCATGTGCTTCAAGTAGAAGGCAAACAACATTTGATCCACAATGCTGTCTGAGAAAGGTACGTTGGTAATTTTTATAAAAGCCCAAAACCTGAATGCCTTTGGTGTGATAGGCAGGTCCAATTGCGAATCCTGTGTGTTCTGGATTTCAAAAGAAGTAATTGGATCCAACCAATACTAGCTTGGCATATCAACAGCTTAGTTTTGCATTCTCTTCAGGGTCCACTTAGGAAACAAAATTATTTTGCTTTTAAGAGTGGCCTGAGCTTCATTTTCAGCTTTTTATTTTTCTTCTGCCTCTTTGATGATGCGAGCATGATCATCAATCTCTGACTCACGAGCCTTCCGCCTTTTGAGCTCAGCTTCATCAGGCTCTTCGTCTTCACTGCCATCAATGATGGGTTCTTCATTAAACTACTTTTCTTTCTTCTTTGGTTCTTGTTGGATGATAGGAGGTTTAACTAGAGCTTTGGGGGGACATTCGTTTGATCTTTGGAGCTACCTTTTCCCCCTTATTTCGGAATAGACGTCGGTTGCGAAACACCCTCCAAACGGTGTAACATAGCAAAAACCGGTCTTAGCTTGTCAGCTAAATGCTTCTTCACAGTGATGGAGATCATTAGATTACGAGTCTCAATGATATCATAGAGTAATCCGGTGACATCATAGATACAACTACGAGTGACTGCCTTCTCTGCTATCAAATCATCGACCCGTTTATGAGCATATTGAAGCTTTGTTTCCAACACCTGGAATTTTTCTTCCTTGATGGGAAGGGCATCCATGATCTTATTGTCTGTTGCCAGATCCTCTTGAAGCTTTGTGATTTTCACAGCGAGAGAAGATTGAAATGGTCCGTGATCAGACTTAAGTGCCTTGCAAAGCTCAACAAAGTTCGCCTTTTCGGTTTGAAATAAAACACCAACATTCTGAATTGCCTTGTTTGCAGCTACTGTGTTGGAGTTATAAGTGGTTTTGTAATCTTCCATGAATTCCATTGTGTCAGCAATTAGTTTATCGACTTTTTTGGTCGTTGCTTTGTAGACATTAGTAGAATCAGAAACTACCTTAGATAAAGTAGAGACATTGGTAGAATGTTCCTTTATACTCACTCAAGGATTAATTCAACAACAGTTTTGGAATAAGCTTGAGAGGTGGAGACTTTGGATGCGAGAAGTAGTTGATCAATCTTCTCATGAAGAGATTTGAGTTCCCCTTTCATAGTGGAGAGTTCATCTTCATTATCAATCCGTATTTGAAAATAATTGTAAGCGAATCTGTCCAAATCATCATCTCCATCATCTCCGAAAATCATTTTAGAGTCATCAGTGCGAATGGGAGAAATGGGTGGTGTAACATGGGTTGAAAAACCTGAAGTGTGAGCCCCCATATCAGATACGTTGACAGAACTTATAGGTGTAGCTGAGGTGTGGTGCGATATGGTGGATTCGATGAAAATAGGGATTGTGACTGGATCAATTGTGGATGGTTGAGATGATACTGGTGGTGGCATAGGTGCGATGGTAATTGGGATAGAAGCAGTTGATTTTGGTGAGGGAGGTGGAGAAGGAACATAATCATTAAGTGTTGGAGTTACCTCATGAATCGAAGATGTAGCCTCAGTGCGAACAGGTGGATCATTGTGAATCTGTTCTACTTGCTCGATGTCAACTGATTCGTGTTCCTCAGTGCGAATGGGCTCATCCTCTTTATTGCGAACCGGTGGATCTTGCTCAATACGAATGTCCGACTCAGTTTCGTAGTCAAAATCTTCTCCTTCACTCTGATATGGAGAAGGAGTAGGAGACTTTCACTTTCTAGCAGGTTGCTTCCTTTTTTTTGGTGCAGCAGTTGAAGCAACAGGAGCCTTTCCCTTCTTAGAGGGAGATTTCACACCCTCAGAAGGTCCTTCTTTCATAGTGTCTTTCTTAGTTACTTTCTTTGACCCTCCGCCCCTTTCTTGGCTTTATCTGCCTCAGCCATAATTGCTTGAACCTTGTTAGACAATGGACGAGGATCTGAAGGAGTTAGAGCACGATAACCCTCTAGAATTTTACTCGAGGGAGGAACATCACGAAACATAACCTCTGGAATCGAGCCAATGAAGGAAAACTTTGATCAATCCGCCACAATGATGCTAGTTGTATGGAGGGTTGCAATGGAAGCCATTAATGCATCAGACATCACCGGAATCTTGAGCTGTTTGATTGCCCTGTTAACGATGATGGTCCAAAATCTCACACAAGAGATCTCACTGTGACGAGAAAGAGAGTGAGTGCGCTGGATAAGTTGACCCCAAAGGATAGAACCATAGTCAACATTTAGACCTGTGTAGAGGCCATACATCAGACCCATGAAAAGTTTGCTTGCATAGTCATTGCCAGTTACTCTTTCAGAAAATGATTTGAGCAGGATAGTGAATAGGGCATTCCATGTGGGTGGAAGGTTATATTTCTTGAACTTGGAAACAACAGTGATAGTTTCTTTGTACCCCATTTGATAGAACATTTCTAAGATAACAACATTGGATATGGTTTCTGGTTTGATCATGTTGTCAGACAGAGGAAACCCTAACAAATTGCAGAATCGGGCTTTAGAGATTGATATTGTGTGATTGTGGATGTCGAGGTAAATCCTTTGTTTTTCCTTGACATAGTAAGCTGTTGTGTAAGCTTTGGAGAGAATCGATAGTGGAACATTCTCAACTTGAGACAAGGCAATGGTGAGAGGGGAGTATTTCAAGCGCTCAATCATAGGTAGAAGAAAGGGATCATATAGAATGGGATCAAGTTCGATAATGAGGTTTTGATGTTGCTTAACGGGCAGAAGGGATGAATGGGCAGTCTGGTCTTGAACAGAAAGATTCTATGATGAATCTACCATTGATGAAGCTTGAAGAAGATGATGAATAGTGGAGAGCTTTGTGATCACTGGAAATTATGTATAGAGTTTAAAAAAGGTAATGAGATATGGAACCGTCAAATCCCTTATATACGATTTGATTTGGTGAGTAAAATCCGAAGAGAAAGTGTCTTGAAAAATGAACCGTCACCTGTAAAAGCGCAATTTGACAGCTGTGATGAGTCAGAAGCATGCGTCATGCGGCGTATTGGTAGCTGTCCATTTATCTTTTCACGCGCCCGTTTGAATTCTTATCTTTTAAAATTTGCCACGTCAGCTCAATTCCTTTTGCAGTAAAGAAAGTACGTTGAATACAACTGTGAACCTGAAATTTGATAGTAACCATAAACTAGAATTTTGGAAAATCATTAAGATCTTCATGCAAGAGTCTCAAAGAAAAAGAAATAAAACATATTTTATCTGGGAATGTTGTGATGTCTAACTAAAGACATAAATCTATGGATCCTAGGCAAAGATCTCTTCCTTCATAATAAAGAGAGACTAAGAAGTGTTTGTGTGGTTTCCTGTTGAACACGATCAAATGTTTGATGAGAAACATTGAAAGGCATCTTGTAATAAAGCTTATAAAGGTGGGTCATCCTTCATCTAAACTATGAACTTGATATAAGTGCGAAAGTGAGAGAATGTACTCGTGTGACCATTGTAGTCAGTTGAACAAGTAGGTTTGGAACATATGTGAGTGACTTGGACAAGTATTGAAATCTCCAAAAAAAATTGGATCTATTGGAATAAATGTCTTGGAACGAGAGCACTTCATTAGGATCTTACAAAAGAAAAGAGATTTCTTGGTACTGATCACGAACATGAAATTTCGTTAATTCTTGGGTGAAAATACTAGAACGTTTTATTATTCACCATCAATTTATATAAGGTATTGAATTTTGGGTTTCACTCAGTTCATGGTAGAATGAAACTAAGATCATGAACACAGATGTTTGTGTAACCATAAACCTCTGTGCTAATTTCTGAGAGTCTTAAGGGTTACATTAATGGATGCGAGAGTGATGGAGAAGAAGGTAGGTGGTTATAAGAAAGTGAATTCGTAGCCCGATTTGAAATAATTGATTGGTAGTATCAACTTATTAAGGCTTCACAATCAAGTCGTTGAGGCTTAGGTCAACATCCAACAACATGCTTCTAGGGACACTTAGCTAATACATTAGTAAGAAGATTTGTACCTGCCCCATCACACAAGTTGATTAATGTTGCGAACACCTTCGCCAATGATCTTAGTGTGAATCTATATAGAAATGAAATAGAAATAGACATAAAGTAATTTTTTTTAAAATAAACCCAATAAAATAATCAAGGATATACAAAATATACAAAAGGATATATGAAATACCAAATCACGGATGAACAGTGCCCTGCGAACCATTGCGAACGTTTGCATTGATTCACATCCATAAAACAGACTGTGAATGAACAGTTGACTGTGAATGCCTGCGAACCTTCTCACCAATTGGCAGTGAAAAGTTTAGGAGTGAGAAAATGGTTTTGGTACAAAATCAACTTCCATTATTCCTAACCCTTGAAGGATTCTATTAAATGTTGCTTCAGGTAGGGCCTTGGTAAATATGTCAGCCAATTTATCAGTGGATCTTACGAAATGAATCTCGACATTGCCATCTTCCACATCATCCTTGATAAAGTGATACCTCGGTGCTATATGTTTCATCTTTGAGTGTTGCATTGGGTTGTGATAAATGCGAATGGCACTTTCGGAGTCACAATAGAGAGGAATTCTTTTCATACTTAAGCCATAATCGCGAAGTTGGCTTTGAATCCAAATGACTTGAGATGTACACGAAGCTGCACCTATGCATTCAGCCTCAGCTGTTGACAACGAAACACATGTTTGTTTCTTTGATTGCCAACTCAGCAACTTTCCATCATGAAACTGGCAGCCACCTGTGGCGCTCTTTCTATCCAAACCGCAACCTCTTAAGTCAACATCTGAAAATTCTTGTACAAAGAAACCCGAGTTCGTAGGATACCATATTCCAAGAGATGACGTTCGTTTTAGATACCGAAATATATTCTTGATAGCCACCATATGCAGTTCGCGTGGGTTGGCTTGGAACCTAGCACAGTAACAAACTGAAAATGTTGTTACAAAGAACATGGTTTGGCATGCAAAATTTAAGTTTGCACAATTGAACATGGTGATTTGGGTGCTAAAAAATATATTCGATCATAGTAAATGAGTAAAAAAAGGGATCTAGTCTAGAACTTCATAGATATCTCACTCACTAATCACTATGACTACATCTCTCAAGCACACCTCTACAAGTGGACAAACCCACCTTATATAGAGGTGTTTACATGTCTCTCTCTCTCACTCTCATTTACACATGTGTAAAAAGGCTAATACTCCACATGCAAGTGGGTTTTACAAAAGTCAAACATTTACAAAGTTAATCATGAATAACTTTGCACCCCAGCATTCTCCCCCTCAAAGTTAGGAATGAATGACACATGTTGAAACGAACTTCAATCTTCAATTAATCCATGATTCTTCAATTTGGGCTCTACGATGTGAGACCATACAATCCTAGTAGCAACGAATGATTAATTCCAAATAATCACCCATAAGTTGCGCATAAAAAACACACCCCAAAAATCTTTAATAAAACTAAACCCATTTCAAATACATCACTTCCGAACTTCCAATTGCATCATCTCATGGCTTCAAAACTTCATGATCACTTCGGTCTTCAAATCCGCGTAATATGAAAAATTCAAGTTTAAATTTCCATATAAAACTTCTCCCCCTTTTATAATCGAAATTTAATTATAAAAATCCAAGGAAAAAGAACATGCTCTATTTGGAATTTTTTCGTGTCAAAACTCACCCTTAACATGTGGCATAAACTTTGTGATTCAATCCGGAAAATCCAAAAAATAATTAATTTTTAGCTTCGTTCACGGATTGCCTTCGACAAGATTTCTCAAAAATGGGTAGAAATTGTCAATTTCAAAATTCTGCAGTGACCCGTTGCGCCCAAAACAACAAAATATGCAAAAGACTCCCCCTTTTTCAAATCTGGGTAAAAAACATCAATTTGCACAAACTGCAGGGGCCTGAAATGCACTTTCTTCAATTTTCAGCAAAAAAATAGTCCTTTTTCGAATTTGGGTGAAAACTGCCAACAATTCGAAGTCTCAAGGTCCATTTTCTAAAATTCAACCCTTGTGAAAAAATCATACGAAACATCCCCAAAATAGGGATAATGTCACTGTAGCACATGAAACTTTTAACACTTGGCTAATTTGGTCCTTAAAGTTTTTTTTGGTACATTAGACCATTAAACTCGTAACTGACCTTTTAATTACACCATTTTAGCAACTTTTAGAAGGTTTCCCGGTTATACAATGCCATTTTGTAAATTAATATATATTTTTTGTCTAATCCGATGCCACGTGAGATATGCCACATCAATTAATGAAATACGACGCTTAAAGCCTTTCGTCTTCAGCTATCGAACTTCACTAGTCTTCTTCTTCATTATTGAGTTGTAAAAGAAACTGATTTAGGGTTTATGAAGCATTCATGTGATCGAGCTGAAAGAAACAAAGAACTTGTAGCAATGGCACAATCAGAACCTAATGAACTGTTTGCGATGGTGGAACTCAACTACCGAGGGGTATTTAATCGAAATCCTTTCTCTTACACTGGTGGTGTTAAAACCATCTTCAATGATGTTGACTTTTCTTCTATGACTTATTCTGAGTTTGTGACCTTCTGCGAACGTTTCATGCATGAAGAGTGTAAAAAGTTTTACTACTGTGAACCAGACATGTCCTTCATGGAAGGGCTTAATCCCATTTTAGATGATGTGGAATATTCTGCTTTTATTTTTGATGCTTATGGAACAGATGGTGTAATTTCGGTTTATGTGGATCATATTGGGGTTGGTGTTGATGGGTGGAACGATGATGAAGATAATGATGATGATGAACATGAGTCTTGTATTGATGGTGAAAATGAAGACAACATAGATGAACTTAGAAATGTTGCCTTTGAATTTAATGAGGATGTAGTGCATATGAATAGGACATCAAATGATCCTTTCTTGAGTAAGCTATGTGTTGATGATGAGGATGCAAACAACATTGTAGATGATGACAATGGGAGAGAAGTTGAAGTTAACATACAAGCTCATTCCATATTTAATGAGCTATTACAGTGGAAAAAACAAAAACCAATTCTAGGGATGAGATTTAAGGGTCCAGGGCAAGTAAAATCAATGTTGTGTAACTATGCTGTAGCTAATGGATATCAATTGTGTTTTGAAAAAAATGATCGGACAAGACTTTTGGTGAGGTGTAGCAAAGGTGCTTGCACATTTAGATTATGGGCTTCCTGGATGAGTGATGAAGAGAGTTTCCAAATCAAGTCACTAAAAGCTGATCGTAATTGTGCTAGGAACTTCAAGTTTGGATCATTGGTGACATATGCATGGATTGGGAGTCACTATACCAAAGAGATTGTAGAAAGTCAGAAAATAAGTGTAAGGAAGCTTAGGTTAAAAGTAATGGCCAAGTTTGGTATCCAAGTTAGTATGGGGCAATGTAGAAGAGCAAAGAAGTATGCACTGAAACTTGTTGAAGGAAACCTTGTTGAACATTATGGTAAGCTATGGTTATATGGTCATGAGATTTTAAGGACAAATCCTGGGTCAACTGTGAAACTAGATATGGAGGATGGGCCAGATGGAAAGAAACATTTTAGCAAGTTCTATTGTTGTTTTCAAGGAGTTAAACAAGGTTGGATTGAAGGGTGTAGAAGGGTAATTGGTCTTGATGGATGTTTTCTTAAAGGTGTTTGTAAGGGAGAATTGCTTTGTGCTATTGGGAGGGATGCAAATGACAAGATATATCCTATTGCTTGGGCAATGGTTAATGTGGAGAACAAGCAGAATTGGAAGTGGTTTCTAGAGCTTCTCATTGATGATCTACACTTGAATTTAAGGAATGGTTTCAGTTTAATGTCAGACCAACATAAGGTTAGTATTTTACATAGTAATGCATTTATGTTAATTTTAGACTATCTGAATTTAACCTTTTTACTAATACAGGGTTTGATAGAGGCTGTTAAAGAGTTGCTTCCATATGTAGAGCACAGGTAGTGTGCTAGACATATTTGCCAGAATTTGCAGAAGAGATTTACTGGTGCCATATATCATACCTTGTTTTGGAGAGCATCTAAAGCCACAACTGAGCATGCTTTTAAAGTTGTGATGAAAGAAATTGAGACATTGAACCCAGAAGCCCATCAATATCTCATGGAGAAAGATCCTAAAACATGGTCTAGAGCTTTCTTTCAAACTGGAAGGTGTTGTGATGCAGTTGAAAATGGGTTCTCAGAAAGTTTTAATGCTGTAATAGTAGATTCTAGGAAGAAGCCCACAATAACCATGTTAGAGGAGATAAGATTATACATGATGGACAAAATCTACAACATGAAATTAAAGGGACAACAATGGGGAAATCATATTTTTCCAGAGATAAGGGATAAGGTGAATTTCCTTAAAAAAGCTCAAAGGCATTATCAGGTACTACCAAGTGGATTAAACTGTTTGAGGTAAGGGGAGCAATAGATTCATATGAGGTGGACTTAGAAAGAAAAACATGCTCATGTAGGTTGAGGCAATTGAATGGATATGGATGTGCTCATTCTATAGCTAGCATATCCTTTCTTAATAGGGATGTAGAAGCCTATGTAGACAACATGTTTAGCACAACCACATTTAGAAAGGCATACAATTATAGAATTGCTCCCATGAATAGTAGTGACATGTGGCCAGAGACAAACTATACTCCACCATTGCCTCCTATTAATAGAAGGATGCCTGGTAGGCCAACTACTAAGAGCAAGAAATCCACTACAGAGAATACAGGAACACACAGGGTTTCTAAGGCTGGAAAGAAAATCAGATGTAGTATTTGCAAGGAGAGAGGTCACAACAAGGCCACTTGTCCATAGAGAAGGCCCCAAAAGTTAAATGTGAAGAAACAGAAGAAACAAAAAGTATGTGTGAACCAAAATGCAGGACAGGTAAAACAATTTAAAATATAAGATTAATTACATATAATTTGTTACTTACATAATTATATCATGCCATGTAGGGTAGTACAAGTGAACCACAACAACATGAAGAGGTTGAAATGACTCCAATTGAGATGGATACTACTCATAATGATATGCAAGTTGCTCCTACTGATGTTGAATCTAGTAGTGCAAGGGATTTTATTCAATATGTGCAATTCACTCCACCTAGAAGTTATGAAGGTGATGAGGGTGTTATGGGTGAGGAAGCTGATGTGGTTGAGGAAGATGTTGTGGTTGAGCAACTTGTTCAAGGCGAGGAGGCTGAGGAGGTTGATCCTGTTATCCAAGTTGATAATGTAAATGTTCAGGAGGTTGATGAGGTTAATCCTAATACCCAAGTGGATAATGGTAATGTTCAGGAGGTTGCTCCTGTTAACCAAGTTCAACAGGTTTGTGTTAGGCTAATTTCAGATATTTTGAAGAGGATAAGGAGAAGAAAGTCAGAGAGAATACTGAAGCTGAAATTAGGCAAAACAATTGGTGGTGTTGATGATCTAGGAAATTCGAAGGGAAAATCTCTTGTAATTGATTAGTGTTTATTGTAATTTGTGTTTAAAGTTTATGTAATGGGATGATGATAAATTGGATTTTAAGTTTATGTAATAGGATGATGGTAATTTATATTTAAACTTTTTGTAATATGATGTTGGTAATTTATATTGAAGTATGTGTGACACTAAAGGGTATTTTGGTCATTTAAGTATGTATGAAAGAAAAAGGTGAAACAACCCGAAAATTCCGTATCATTTATTGTAACTCTTTCGTAGTACAATTCGCGCAACCAATCGTCATTCCAAATTCGATTTCCGATATTCCGTATAATTAAGTCATTAATTAGTACACATTTAAAATGACTTAATGGGTGTCTTAATACATTTAGAAATCATTTTAACACGCAACTTTAGTGATCGGAATATTTCTAGAAATTACCGTATCGGGTTACGGTAACTCAATCGGGTACGACCAAAAGCCTCGTCTAACGCCGGTATCGGGTAGAATTCCACCGTGTCCAAAACTTAAACACTATATAAACGTGTTTAAGACTCCATTTGAAGCCTTTGGTCAATTTCTCATTTAACACTTACAACCTCTCTCCTCAACCCAAAATCAAGGTCCAAAACAAAGAATTAAGGCTTGAAATCAAAGAGGTAGCACCCCTAACTTGTTATTCAACCTCTTTAGCCTTCAATTTTGTGTTTAATTTGTGTTTTGGGACCAAGAACATGAGATTACAGACAAGGAACTAGCTTGGGACGTAAACTCCTAGAAATGGGGTTTTTAAGCCCTAAAACCCTTCCTTAGCATTATTGGACATTAGATATGACTTAATGGCTTAATGGAAAGGACTTATAACATGTAAAACATTAATTTTGAGGGACAAAAGTGAGTTTACGGCCAAGACACATTCTTGGGCCGTAAACTCATATTCAAAGGGTTTTTGAGCTAATTAACCCTACCAAATCATAGTTGGGACTTAGATATGACTTGTGGGACATTGGTTTTAGCATCTAAACACCTTAAACATGATTTTTGAGGGACAAAAGAGAGTTTACGGCCAAGACATATTCTTGGGCCGTAAACTCCACTTAATTGGGGATTTAAAGCCTTAAAACTTGTCCAAATGCCTTGAAACTCAACCAATGGCCTTGTGGTAAAATCTAGATGCATCTAAAAATAGTTTAAAGGTTTGAAACACATCAAAAGTGTCATTTATAGGAGTTTACGGCCTAGGAACATACCCTTGGCCGTAAAATCATAAAACTATGTTAATGATGCATCAAATACACTCAAATGGCTTGATTAAATTTCTTGAATCACATGTGATTGTTTTAAACATCAAAAACTATCTTTTTCATGGGTAAAGAAGAGTTTACAGCCTTAGAACATATATCTAGGCCGTAAACTCCAATTAGTGTGTTAAATGATGTTCTAAATTCATAACAAAGCTTGGAAAATTAACTAGAATCACATGTGATTGTCCTTGAAGCTCAAATCAATTTTCCTTGGCCATAGGTGAGTTTACGGGTGTAAACTCTTATGGTATGGCCGTAAACTCCCATTTAAGTGTTAAAAGTTCATACAATCTATTCCTAGGCATTTTAGAAATCCATTCCAAAAATCCCTATGTCCATTTAAGCCATTAAACACCCAAAATCACACCCACATGAGTTTACGGCCGTAAACTCATGTATGTGTGTGTTCAATGGCTGTAAATTCCTTAAAATGTTTACTCTTGGGGAGTAAACTCAAGTCCCAAGTCCCTAGTGCCATTACATGTCCGAAGATGTCACCCGGGTCACCCTAAACGCTCATTTTGAGGTGTTTAACCTCATTGGAGTGTAATGTTCCATATGATTAGTGAATGTATCTCTATTTGTATATATATATGGACATTATATCATTTTACATAGGGACAATGCGAGTAATCAAACCCCGAACCAACGTCTAGTATTCAAAACCGACACGTTTCCGAGTCCGGTGAGTTCATACCCCTACCCTTTTTCACTGTTTTCACTGTTTTCAGGGGGGAACACAAGCAAAGTACAAGGGAATCCTTGTACTCAGAATATGTTTCTAAATGTGTGTTTCATATTTCATATGCTTTCATAACTGATTACCACAACTGATAACAGATTGAACATACAGATCACGTAACCTGTATTTGTGAAATAGGCCTTTAAACTGTTATGTTTTGCATATATTTCACAAATGGTTTTTCCACCTTTTATCAGTTTAAAGCATGACATTAAACATTTGAACATAATATCTGTACACTGTTTTGTTCTCGGTAAAACACCACACACATACATGAGTGGAGGACTATCATATTATTACTAGTAAATTTGTTAATCCTGTATGATTGGAGACACGTCCTCGGAGAACACTCCACCGAGATACGCGAGTGGAGGACTACACCCATAACCAGAATCTCTGGTACTTAGAGAGCGTGACTTGAGTGTATAGATCTATACGAGGCTGACTACCCCACACCTGGCTGCTAGCTACAACCAAACCGAAATGGTTCAAGGGTGACGAGAGTCATAAGTATGTGGACGACTTATTGCCACATGTGGACTACTTATTGCCATAGGTTTTAGTCTAATGTATGGTTATGGAACTCGCAATTAGGATAACAGAGATTTACTTATAGTAATAATGAATCACTTTATACATCTTTTACATCTTTAACATCGTTTACATTAGAAACCAACATGCAGGAAAGCATGGGGCTTTCCTGGGTAATACTTACATAACTAGAAAGAGTAACAAACTGGATAACATTACATCTTTTACAATTGTAACATACAATAAGGAAAGTATGGGACTTTCCTGGTAACACATGATAAGTAAACAGAACAGTTTAACCAGTCAGATAACCAACTATACATTTTCACATGAATAAACATGTTTTCAGTGTACAAACTTACTATACTTTACATTTGTGAAACAATAACCAACTATTAAGAAAATATGGGATTTTCTTGGTGCATATAACATTTCAGAAACAGAAAGGAAACTCGAAACATTTTCACAAACAAAAACCGCTTATGAACTCACCAGCTTTATGCTGATTTTCAAACCGCTTGTGTTCTCAGGTCAGCATTAGAACAGGTACCCGAAGATTTCTTTTGATCAGAAGACGGAGTACATGAAGACCCGTTTCATTTTGTATATATATACTATGTATCACAACTGTACAAACTTTACTTTTGAAACAACTGTAAAACTTTATTATGTAATGTAATGGTTGTTTTACTTTACTTACTATGTGCATTGGATTTGATACTCAACGTGGAGTCAACCCCGGAAATGTTTCCGCCTTCGGTTTTCGGGGTGTGACAGATTGGTATCAGAGCCCTTGTTTATAGTGAATGAAGTATACCAAACCTTACATGGTATAAAACTATAAACACTAAAGGGCCTAAGTGCTCTGAATTAAAAGTATCTTCAAACTACAAGTATTTTCAAAAGTATACAAGTATACCGAACCGTCGTCATCCGTAACCACAAGTAGAACCGAACATAAGTAATTGGGTGTTGTGTACTATGGTTAAACCTGGGCAGTTATGTAGTCGTGTCTAGGGTCAATATGGCCTGGCCAACTATATTCATTCGAGACACGGCCAACATGTGCTTGGGAGTGACTGTGGTATGTGACATGCCTAAAACTTACCTTAATATCCCAAACATCGAATCATTGTCGTAAACAATTCATGAAATACTATGGGAGTATTTCTCAATCCCAATCCTCTGTAGTAATCCTTATTCGAGTGACTTTCTGTGATTATTCTTAGCGATAAATTATCTGTTCGATAACTTTTCCTGCTTTATCGCTTACTCGAATCATATAACTGCCATATCTATCGATTCAATATAGAGGACTTACCATCCTCTCTTTCTTGATCTTATTAGATCAAGATGCCTCCCCGAAAGAGACCCAGCTCAAAGAACAACAACAATCCTTCTTCGCCGCCACCCCCTCCCCAGTTTGACCTAGCATCACTCCAGACGATGATGACAGCTGCAATGGTAGCAGCTATGTCACAAATGAACCCTAGTGGTTCAGGTGGTGGTCCTCAATCTCAAAACCCCGAGGTTAACCAGGGACACCAAAGAGGGAGTTCCTACAAGGATTTCATGAACGCAAAACCAACATCCTTTAATGGCGCTGGAGGTGTCATTTCCTTATCTCGATGGTTCGAGAAAATAGAGTCCATCTTTGAAATCTGTGCTTGTGCGGAGTCCGATAAAGTCAAGTTCGCAGCCTGTACCTTCGTTGATAAAGCCTTGACTTGGTGGAATGGCCGAGTCAAATCTCTGACCTTACCCGTAGCCAATGCCATGGGCTGGGAGGCCATGAAAGAACTTCTCATTGCCGAGTACTGCCCCCGTGGTGAAATGCAGAAATTAGAGCACGAGCTCTGGAACCTGAAGATGAAAGGTTCCGACATTGCTGCATATACTTCCCGATTTGATGATCTCGCACTTCTCTGCCCGGGATTAGTCACTCCTGAAAAAAAAAGATCGAAAGGTTCGTTTGGGGGTTATCTCAACCGACAAAGAGTCATGTTTGGCTGCTCGTCCGGATACTATGATAGTGCAAGACTTTAGCTCAAATTCTGATTGATCACAGCGACGATGTTAAGGAAATCACTACCACTTCTGAGCCGACTCAAAGGAGTGGTGAAAAGAGGAAATTCTGGAAGAAGAAGAAGGGTCAATCTTCTCAAGGATCTTCCAAGAAACAACAGACGGTAGCAGTCCATGCTGCTACTACTACCCCTGTTGCTGCTGTTTCTGTCATGGGATCCACAGCCTCAACTCCTACCAGTAAATATGCTGGTAACCTCCCTCTGTGTGACAAGTGTAAATACCATCATCATCCTGGTCCCTGCCGAGAATTGTCTTGCACCAACTGTGGTAAGAAAGGGCACACAGTTCGATTCTGCAGAATCCTACCCAATCAGCCAACCAATCATCGGGAGCAGGTGTTAGTCAAGCCTGCTACAACTGTGGAGAAGTTGGGCACTTT